GCATGCCAGAGGTGAAGAGACCAAGAACCCTGTCCCATTTTACCTCTAAATGACAAGTGCCAGGTGAGCAGGGACTTGGCCTGCCATGACTTTGGGCTGGTAAGGGTTGCACTCTGTCATACCCTGCATCCTGCGAGCTCAGGACCCTCGCACTGCACAGAAATGCTCTGCTTTGACCTGAGTGCTGGAGGCAAGCTGTCATGATCTCAGAACAGGAAATGTGGAGCAGCACACTCCTCCCTCCACCCACCTGGACCAGCCCAGGGGGGGCCCCGCTAGAAACAGCACTGCAGCTAATGGCTTTTCTGTCTCCAGGACAACTCAAAACCTTGCCCACTACTTGGGCCTTTGTACATTGAGGGAAGCTGAAACCAGAGGTCTGATCAGCTTATGTTTTCTGAGAAATCTTCGTTTAGTAGAGGTAATGATGCCTCTTACTCATACATGTACCTGGCGTATTTTTCAGGCTGCTGGGGCCAGAACTAAAAACTAGAATCAAGGTAATGTGAGATCTAGATTCCTTAGCTACTAGGCTACAGGACTGACTCTGCTACCCAGTTTTTCAAAGCTCAAAATATTGTTTAAGGATACTGTTATGAATTGAATTTTTGTGCCCCTCTCCACTTTCTTAGGTCAGTATTTCCTACATTGAAGCCCTAATCCCTAGTGTGGCTATATTTGAAAATGGGACCTTTAGAGAGGTTTAAGGTTAAACGAGGTCATAAGGGTGGAGCCCTTATTATGAAATTATTGTGCTTTTAAGAAGACACACCTGGGGGACTGGCAGACGGTGTGATGGTTAAGGGCGCTGGACCCCCACAGGGCCAACTGCTTTCACTCTGTCCCTCTCTGGTCAAATTAAATAAGTAAAGTTAAATAAAATAATTCTTAAAAAAGAAGAAGAAGGGGAACCAGCAGTTAGCGTAATGGCTATGTCGCTGGACTCCCACGTAGTCGACCGCGGTTCATGTCCCGAACCCGGTGGCTTAAAACTCACGCTGGGCGCGTGTGCGTGCGTGCCCAAGATCCCGAGAGGAGAATGGAGGAGAAGGGATTGCAGTGTGACCATCCCCCCTGGGGGGTGATTTCTCACTTTCTGTCTCTATGTCTCTCTCTGGCGAGCGCACGCGCCCTACAGTGAAAATCTCTGAAAAAAAAAAAAAAGAAGAAGAAGAAGACATACCTGGGACCAGCAAGTAGTGTGGTGCTTAAGGTACTGGACTCCTACATGTCCAACCACAGTTCCAGTCCCGGGCCTAGGTGCCCAAAATCCCAGGAGGAGAATGAAAGAGGAGGGATTGTGTCACCTCTAGCAGGTGATTTCTCACTTTCCCTTTCACTGTCTCTTTCTTACAAGTGCACATACACTATAGCAAAAACCTAACCCCCCCCCCCAAAAAAAAAGACACACCAGAGAGCAGGTGCTTCCTTCCACACCCTCCTGAGTGCAATCACCGAGGAAAGGGCATGTACACAGTGAGAAGGTACACATCTGCAAGCTGGGAAGAGAGTCTTCACCAGAAACCAATTTGTTGCATTCTTGATCTTGGACTTCCCAGCCTCTAGAACTGTTAGAAAATAAATGTCTGTTGTTTTAAGTCAGAGGTCCCCCACCCCTGGACCACAGTACAGTCCCCACAGCAGGAGGTGAGCAGTGGGCACAGGAGTAAAGCTTCATCTGTATTTACAGCTGGTCCCCATTGCTCACACTATTGCTTAAGCTCCACCTCCTGTCAGATCAACAGCAGCATTAGATTCTCACAGGAGTGTGAATCCCTTGTGAACTGTACAGGTGAGGGACCTACGTTGTGTGATCCTTATGAGAAACTAATGTCTGATGATCAGAGGTGAAGGTGAGGTGATGCTAACTCTGGGATGTGGCTGTGAATACTGTATTATGGTGAGTTGTATAGTTATTTCATTATATATTATGATGTAATAATAGAAATAAAGTACACAATAAATAGAAACAAAGTGCCCAATAAGTGTAATGTACTTAAATTATCTTGAAACTACCCCATCCCCTGGGTCCATAGAGAAATCGTCTTCCATGAAACCAGTCCCTGGTGGCAAAAAGGATTGCTAATTTAAGCCACAGTCTGGTTTTTTTTTTTTTTTTCCCTTAATTTTAACTAACATGCTTTAGAAATTTTATCTATCTGCTTATCTATTTTTATTGGGTTGCTGGAAAAGTTATGATACATTTTTGCAAGATAAACATAGAAAAATATGTCATGAATTTTCTGATGACCCAGTAGTTTGCTTTAGGGTGCATGGGCTCACCGGAGAGAGACAGAGAAGGAAAGTGTGAAATAAACTCCCAGGGGGATGGCCATGCAGTAATCCCTTCATTCTTCTCTTGGGATTTTAGGCACGTACACACATGTGCCCGACATGTTTTCAAGTTGCTGGGTCTGGGACTCAAACTACACAGTTTGCCATGTGGTATTTTGTGATAGTACTGGTAAGGTACTTGAACAATCTATCGTAGAGGAACAAGACTAGGGAGCTGTGAGGGAAGGGCGGCCACCATCCAGGACAGTGGTTCTTCTGGTGGGAAGGTGATGGATGTGAGGGTGTTCTGAGAAGCACTGGTGCTTGCTTTCAAAGTAGGGTGCTAGGTATAAAGGTGCTCTTTTTATTACAATTCTGCAAGTTCTATACAGGTTTTATGTATGGTTTTATATACACATGTAGTAATTCATGATATTAAAAAACCAAATATGAAGAAAGAAAGACTTTTAAAGTTATTAAAATTACCTTCATATTTTCTCTTAACATCCTCTTCCTGTGGTGGTTTACTGACATAGCGAGGAATTTCATGGTTAATTTCAGTTGTTTTTTCTTTATGAGCAATGCTACCTGTTGCCTGTTTACCCTACAATTTTGAAAAGGAGCACAAACATACTTTGGGAAGTGGTCTGCATAATTTCAAATTATATTTTATTCTAATGAATACAAATACACACAAACACATTTTAGATTTTTGCCATGGGACACATGTGCTCACTGGAAAGAGACAGAGAGAAGAAAAGTGAGAAATCACCCTCTGGGGGATGGCTATGCCACAATCCCGTCTTCTCCATTCTCTCAGGATTCTGGGCTTATATGCACACACATCTGGCATGATTCTCAAGCTACCAGGTCCAAGACTTGAACTGTGGTTGGCCATGTGAGAATCCTGCACCTTAACAACCATGCCACCTGCTGGTCCCGCCCCCCCCCCCATACATATATTTTTAAGTTTATTTCTCTCATAATAGTCAGGGAAAAGAGACAGAGAGAGAAAGGCAAGCTTCCTCAAGAGGACCTCACACACAATCCCCCTCAGCCTTGCCAGTTAACCAGGATCACAGGTGTGTGTGCCTGGTGTGCACAGATCAAGCAGGGAACAGAATCTGCCATCTTCCACACGGATGCAGCATTGCTTGGAAAGTGTGCTACAACACCATCAGGCCAGACCCAACTACTTTATATAGAAAGAGCTCATCTACAAAGGTACAAGGAGGAGGGTGCGGCCCAGAGTTGCAGGAAGGGCCTGGGTTTAGTTCCCCATCTGAGAGGCCAGGTGCAGAGGCTTGCACTTGTCGTTCTAGCTAATTGAGAGGCTAGGGTAGCAGGATAGTGACATCATGAGACTTGTCAAAAGTAACTCTCCCTGGGACCAGCAGATAGCGTAGTGGTTATGTTGCTGAATTCCCACTTAGTCCACCATGGTTTGAGCCCCGGACCTTGCAGCTTAAATTCACACCAGGCACGTGTGTGTGTGTGTGTGCCCAAAATACCAAGAGGAGAATGGAGAAGGGATTGTGGCATGGTCATCCTCCCTCGGGGGGGATTTCTTGCTTTCTATCTCTCTGTTTCTCTAATGAGCACATGTGCCCTATCGCAAAAATCTCTCTTAAAAAAAAATAAAACAGTAACTTCTCCCTTTCTCTCTCCCATGTTTACTTGGTGTCTCATAAAATAACAACAAAAAACCAACCAAACAAAAAAGGTGACTGTAGCCTAATTAATTTTGTTAAGAAATGTTTAATTAGCACTGTGAGATTTAAAATGTGTTGTACCTTGGTTGTCAAAGATAGAACATCTTCTGATTTCTGGGTTCCCTGGTGTCTCATACTTATAAATAACAAACTTTTTCTGTCTGCTTGTACTGATTTTGTTGAAGAAACTACAGAAAGGTAGACCATATGTAAGAAACATATTTTATATTTGGAAGCAATATTGTGATATTAAATATAAAATAACATGGAAATATGCAATGTAATAATAAAGCAAAGTATACTAGGTATTTTAAAGATATTCAATATAGCTATAACATTTTCTAGTTTCCTCTTTTCCCTGCCATCTCCCTTGTTCTGTCTTCTTTCCTTCCATAAGGGTTTTGGGTATCACTGTGTTAGAGCACAGAACAAGCAGGTGTTAGAAAAGGCAGTGTTGCCGTTTGAGGACAAAGCTGTCTTCTGCCGAAGGGATTCAAAACTCAGATATGCGATGGTGAGAGCCTGCACAGCTCTTGATCGTCCATGGTTGGACTGTCTGTGATGAAGTGATTGGCCACTAAATCCAGACTTCACTTTCCTTGAAATATTTTCTTATTTAAACGACCCCATGGTTGACTCATTGTCTTCCCTGGCAGCTGTTTCTCTGGATTACCCGGAATCAGAGAAAGGGAGGCAAGGGAGTGTGAGGCTGCCACCTTTGGAAATAAACATGTAATGACTTCTGCTAAAACAGGAAAGTGTTTCTGTTGCACTTCTGAGAAGAATCTGATGCTGGAAGATCTTGGGGGGAAATAAGTACATATTACCTTGAAGGAGAAAGTAAGGAATGAAAAGGGACACACTAACGATAATAGCACTGACATGGATGAGTCTCAGAAACACTGTGCTGAACAAAGACAGATATGGGAGAGTGCACACCATGTGTGTCCACGTCTATGAAATTCCAGAACAGGCGAACTGCTATTGTGGCAGAAGGGAAGTCAGTAGTGGCCTCAGTTAAGCAGGGACTTCTGAGAGCACAGCAGCACAAGGGAACTTCTGGGGCAGGCGGGAGTCTCGATGTCCTTATGGGGTGATGGTTATAGGTGTAATATTTGCCAGAGCCCGTGGAACTGCACACTTAAAATGGGTGTATTTTATTGAGATCAAGTATACCTCCATAAAATTCATTTTAAAAAGCCATAAAATGCTGGCTAGCAGATATACCTGGAAATGTCAATTTTTTGGCAGATGTTTGGTTTCAAACTGAGAAGTTATACTTTCACCTCACTTAGAATAAAGACATAAAAGATTGAGCTGAACATGGGAAAACAGAAGAATATTTCTTTTACCAGCTATTTCGACCCTATCACAGTTTCATTATCTTCTAGAGTCACAAAATTTATTTCAGTTACTAAGATGATTTTTTAAAGAGAATTATTTTAATTTAATTTTGTTATTATTATTATATAAATTTAACTAGGGAGAGAGAGACAGACAGAGAGAGAGAGAGAAATGGAGAGAGACGGAGAGAGAGAAAGTAAGACAGCTGGCCCCCAAGATGATTTTTTAAAAATATCCATTATTGGGACCAGCAGTTAGCGTAATGGCTGTGTTGCTGGACTCCCATGTAGTTGACCGCAGTTCGAGTCCTGGACCCAGCGGCTTAAACTCAGGCCGGGCGCATGTGTGTGCATGCCCAAGATCCTGAGAGGAGAATGGAGAAGAGATTGTGGCATGGCCATTCCCCCTGGGGGTGATTTCTCGCTTTCTGTCTCTCTGTCTCTCTCTGTCTTCTGGCGAGCACACATGCCCTACAGCAAGAACCTTTCCAGAAAAAAAAATCCATTATTTTGGCTATAAAAATTAGGAAAATTTTCAAAAAAAAAAAAAAAAAAGGAAACTTTGACTAGATACTTAAAAACAGATTTTAAGAAAAGTAACTAGAACATACCTTTTGGATACTCGTCTTTGTCATGTAAATTTTTATGTATTCGATTAGTATAGATGTTTCTAATTTCCAGCTCACGATCCTTCTCCTAAAAAGAATAATATCAATTTTTTTCTGTAAATTTTTGTTTTTATCAACCTTGATTTCTTTAAAAAATTTTAAGCAAGCTCAGTATCCTTTGAATAAAAGATATGGATTATTATCATTGTTTACCATTCCTGATATCAAAAAGTACTAGCTTTTTAACAAAGTGGCACCTTATTGTGATGGGGACAATGTTTTTGCAGTGCCTTGCAAGTAAGCTTCTTCACTGTATTCTTTCTGTCCCATGAGCCTGGACCTTGGAATTTGTTGTTCCTCTGCATTGTCCACCACAGGAAATTTAAATTCATTAAAGTGAAAGAAAAGTCCTCTGTCACATTACCCATATTTCGAGTGCTCAGTAGCTACATGTGACCAGTGACACTGCACTGGGCAGAGCAGATAGAATATTTCCATCGGTGCAGAAAGTTGTATCAGGGGAACCAGCAGTTAGTGTAATGGCTATGTCACTGGACTCCCATATAGTCGATTGTGGTTCAAGTCCTGGACCCGGTGGCTTAACCTCAGGCTAGGCGTTTGTGCATGCATGCCCAAGATCTCTGTCTTTCTGGCAAGTGCACACGCCCTATAGCAAAACCTCTCCAAAAATAAATAAATAAATAAATAAATAAATAAATAAAAAAGAAGAAGCAAGTCTGTTGGACTTAAGATCTCTGAGTTTTAGTAACAGCCATAGTCAAGAGAGTTGGATGTGTATGAATTAAGAGTGTCTCCCACTGTAGAATTAGAAAAATTCAGGAAGGAGGACTCAGGGGCATGAGTGTGTGACAGACAGACTGACACACACACACATACATACACACAGAAAGGGAGTGAGTGAGGTCTGGTCTCCTTGTACCCCTTACAGTCAAATCTGTGGGCCAAAGGTATTTAGGGGATGAGAAATATCTTAGCATTTCAACAGTTCGGAAGTCCCAGTGTGTAAAGTCTTGCTGTGGCCCAGGGAAAGTTCAAGTCCTTAAAAAAGCCTCACGTTCATTGTGGAGTTAGGGGAAGGTGACTGCAATGGCAAGACCTTGTCAAAATTACCTCTCTCTCTATTCCACTAAGGAAAAACAAAACAAAACAAAACAGTCACTTCCATGGAAGTAGGTACAGCCAGGAGTCACAGGACAGAGCATGGACCAGAAGCTTCCATCTCCCACCATGTACAGGACATGGATGTTTTTTCCTTGTGCCCAGAAGCTTTTCCACAGAGGGATGGGAGGGAAGGACCAGAAAATACCATGACAATCTCAAATAAGGCTTTTTTATATATATAAAAAAAGAATGATTTTATTTGTTATTATTATTAAGTTGACCAGAGAGAGACAGAGAGAAATGGAAAATGAGAAAGCAAGGTGCCAGGTCTGGGACTCGAACTGCAGTCAGCCATGTGGGAGTCCAGCATCCCAAACTACTGCACCCGACCTGCCAGCCCCCAAGGCTATTTTTAAATCACCAGAAGACACATGTACTCTCCAGAGAGAGACAGAGATGGGGGTGGGGGACTGGTGGGGGGAGAAAGCAGCTGCCAATGGAGCATGGTCATGCTCAACACCTTCTCCTCCATTTCTCCATCTTCTTGGGATTTGGGGCATGCACACACATGTGCCCAGCATGTTTTTCAAGTCGTTGTGGCTGGGATTCAAACTGTTGACAGCTGCATAGGCTCCAACTCTGTCAATCACAAGACTATGACAGGGGGTGATGCGGCAGAACCCTAGGCTATTTTTAATTAAATGAGAATGGGATAGGAGTCCACTCTGTGTCTATCTCCAGTTCACTCCTAATTTGTGGGAATGGGGCTCATGAAAAAGTATAGTTGAAGTATAGAAAACAAAGAACATTACTTTTTTTTTTTTAGGTTTTTGTCAAAAGACATGTGTGCTTGCCAGAGAGAGAGAGAGAGAGAGAGAGAGAAGGAGAGAGAGAGAGGGAAAGTGAGAAATCACCCTTGGGGGCATGGCCACACTACAATCTCTTTTCCATTTTTGCCCTGGGATTTTGGGCATGTACACACACACACAGACCCAGTGTGATTTTTTAAGCCTCCAGATCAGGGACTTGAACCACTAGTGGCCATGGGGGAGTCTAGCACCTTACCCACCATGCCACTTGCTGGCCTCAGAGTATTATTTATTAAATTGTAGGGTGTACGTTTTATACTCACTTTGTTGATAGACTTAGTTCATTATCAGAGGTACATAAATGTTTGATAAAGCATGAGAACATTAATCTTTTCTAGGATTTAAATTTCCAGAAGTAAAAATGTTTGTTATAGTACATCTTTCATTTCTTTCTCATGTGGTAACATTTAACCGAAAGAACAGTAATGCTGGAATTTTTTTTGCCATGGAAAGTTTACCATCCCAATATATTCTGGATTTTATGTTTAAGAAAAAGGGATGCTGTGTAAAACACTTGGGGTAATTTTTCTAGCACACTGGTTAAGACAAGAAAGGTTTTGATGTTTAGGGAGATTATATGAAAAATGTATTCTATTTCTGAACGTTCTATTTCTGATTTGCTCTGGACGGGGTCAGTACGTCAATTGGGTTGTTGGAAAAGCCACGAAGTATTTTTCTGTTTTTCTATGCAAAAATGCGTCATGACTTTTCCAATGACCTAACAGTTAGTAGTAGCAAGCAGGGAGGAGGCAAATGAGAAACTGCTGATGGACATGTGGCTGGCACAGGGAAGGCTGGGATCCAAAGGAATCAGCATGGTAGGGTGGTCCTTCTCCAGGCTTGGAACACAGGCTTTCGTCTGGATTCACATGACAGGGCTGGGTCAGAAGTCTTACAGGCTTAGAACGGAATTCAGGATGTATGTGTGATTGAGTTCAATCAGTTAATCAAGAGCAATAAGAAGGAAGACCCATAGCAAGGAATGCTCATGGAAGGCTTGTGGAACACTCATAGGAAAGACTACTCACAAGCACAGTGCATCAGGTGGCAGGGAAATGGGAAGTTGCACCATGGTGTGGACTCACAATATGGTCAGTGCAGATGGCTTCCAAATATTAGCTAGGAAGCAACGTCTTAACACACTCATTGGCAGGAGTCATATTGCAGCCTGAGTGTAAGCTGGGGTTGCAGTACCTCATTTGGGAGCTGTGGAAGGCTGACATCTTTCCTCTTACTTCGGCCCATATCCAGAAATGGGCCTAGATCCTGGGGGTTGGATGACTGAAAATGAGTTTCAAAGTATAGAAGAAGAAATTTTGGTCTTTGGCACCAGAATCTCCCAAACTCAAGCACCAATGACTTGTGTTAATGTAGCAGACTATATTTTCCTGAAGTTGCTACAAAACTTCTGTCCTGTATGCTCTTCCAAAACCATGTGACTCCCCATCAAGATGTGGGGTTTATTGTTTGAACTGCCCTGGACTGCTGTGACAAAGAGTGAGGCAGATGTGATGTTGTATGATTGCCAGGACTAGGTCATAAAAGGCAGTATGGAGGGTGCATGTGCTCTCCATTCTTCTCCTTGGAAACCAGACACCAAGGTGTGAGGGAGCTCATACCACAATGAGGGCCAACAGTTTAGCTAAGACCTTACCTGTCATCTGGCAACAACTGCAGATGTATGAGTGAGATTTCAGATAATTCCAGCCCCCAGTCTCCAAGCCACCCCTGCTGATGCCAAGAGAGATAAATATGAGCTATCCCTGGCCAGCCCTGTCTAAACTGTAGACTCATGAATGCAATTAACATTGTCATTCTTAAGTCATTCACATTTAATTTTAAATTTACTAGAAGGCATGGGTACTCAGAGTGAGAGAGAGGGAGAGAGAGAGAAAATACCCTTGGTGGGGCATGGTCATGCCACAATCTCTTCTCCATTTTTCCAATGTGCTCGGATTTTGGGCTTGCACACTCATGTGCCAAACCCACCAGGGTTGGGACCTCAACTATGGTTGGCCATGTGGGAGCCAGCTCCCTTAACCAGCAGGCCACAGGGCCAGCCACAAGTCACTTAAATTTTGGAGTAATGTCTTATGCAGCACATTAACAGGAACAATCAGGTTTTCTAAAGCATCCTTAGTTTCTACTCCCTTTCCCCCTAAATCAGTACCAGGGATGACCATGGAGGAAGCATTAAAAATACTCTCAGGCTGGCAGGTGGCATGGTGGTTAAAGGCAATGGATTCCCACATGGCCGACCATGGTTTGAGTCTCGGACCTGGCAGCTTACTTTCTCGCATTCCCTTTCTCTCTCTCTCTCTGTCTCTCTTGGGTCAAATAAAAAAATAATAATAACAAATGGAATTAAATAAATAGATAATTATTTTAAAAAAAGAAAAAAAAAATTCTCATTTCCCCAGAGGAAACATGACAGCTAGATTATGGGAGTATATCCTGAATCCAGGAAGAAACTGTAGACGATGAATCATGGGATAATGGTTGAAGTATGGGAAATGACATAATGAATGGTTTTACTTTAGTTTGTATAATATATTCTGTGTTTTATTAGGTCGTTGGGGAAATCATGATGTATTTTTTTATGTTTTTCTA